TCTCGAGTTTGCGACTGATTGTATCGGTCACATTTGCGACGGAATAAGTTGCCGCATAGAGGGCCCAGACGATACCGAAGGGTCGTTGGAAGACAAACAGACCCGGCTGTCGGAGGGCCCCGAGCGCATGCCGACGAAGTCCGTGGAGAATGGGTTGCTTGAAGGCAGCTTGCTCGACAAGCGCTCTAAATGCTTGTTAGCGCGGAATCATCGCGCTTGCAAGCGTCGAGACGAACCTATCAATAATTGCCACCGCGGGTGTCACTAGGGAGGCCGAGGCTGCTGCCGCGGCGAGATCGCCTACTAGCTGTCCTAGTTGAGGATTGCTCCAGCGAGCTTCATTTGACTGAATTTCGCGTTGCATAATGATAATCTGAAGGACGTAGTTCGGAGTCTCATGCTTATCTACTTTGGAAATATAACCCTGAGGACTACACTACCCAATCCAGCCTGATACGAGCACCGGGTGGCCTCCCGATACTGCAGATCTCGAATGGCACCTATGCATTTGGCTAAATCTTGCAAGTCAGAGCTCAAGCTCACTGCAGTCATCATGTGGGGTAAACGGGGAAGCCTCCGATATTTCTAGGAGGGGTTTTAAATTGATATGTTCGTCGTCCCAAACTGATTTCCTAAGTTTACATTGCCATTAACTCGACTCAAAACTGCTATTCATCATGTCTACCACACTCATGAAACTTCGCTCAGCAAGGCCTATTGGCCTGCGTTCCGTTCCTGCGGGTCTCTGTATCCAAGCTCGTGCTAAGACTACCATGCCATTCCGCCTCCCCGATGGTCGAAACGAACCAAACGTGAGTGTGGCACAACTATTGAGCACAGCTCGATGCTAACTATACTGTAGCCTCTATACAAGAAAGGCTCCCCGGAGCGTGCCAAACTTGAAGAAGCATTGACCAAGCTCCGCTCTCAGCTGCCCGTGCGGAGTGAACTCTTCTACGATGGGAAGTTGCAGGCAAGCTCCAAGTCTTGGGATCAACCATTGCCCGCCGAGCACGCCACTACCTTTACAAACTACCCACTGGCCACCGATGAGCAGGTCCGGTCAGCTATTGAACTAGCTCTGAAGGCAAAGCAAAGCTGGCAAGATACCCCATTTGTTGATCGGGCTTCGATCTTCCTTAAGGCCGCGGAGCTAGTATGCACCAAGTACCGATACGAGATTATTGCAGCTACGATGCTTGGACAAGGAAAGAACATCTGGCAGGGAGAGATTGATGCTGCGGCTGAGTTGGCGGATTTCTTCCGTCTGAACTGCAACTGGGCCGCTGAAATCTTGGAGAAGCAACCAACTCGTGGTAGTGACGGCATGTGGAGGTAAGTTTACAACTCTTTGGTCGTTACATGACTTTTTACTAACTAATCGCAGTCGTATCGACTACCGTCCCCTGGAGGGCTTCGTTTATGCTGTCTCCCCATTCAACTTCACAGCCATTGGTGGCAACCTGATCTGCGGACCTGCGCTGATGGGCAACGTGGTACTGTGGAAGCCTTCAGCATCTAACGTCTATGCCAGCTCTTTACTCTACAAGATTCTTCTGGAGGCTGGTCTCCCTCCCAATGTGATCCAATTTGTGACCGGTGACCCTGAAGCCATTACTGAGGCTGTGCTCTCACACCGTGACTTTGCCGGCCTGAACTTTATTGGCTCTTCTGATGTCTTCCGTTCTCTGTATGGCAAAATTGGCCAGGGTGTTGCCGCGAAGACATACCGCGAGTTCCCTCGCTTCGTTGCCGAGACTAGCGGAAAGAATTTCCACCTTGTTCACCCCTCGGCCGATGTCACCAGTGCAGTCAACCACACAATTCGCGGCTCGTTTGAATACCAGGGTCAGAAATGTTCCGCCACTTCTCGTCTCTACTTGCCTGAATCTCGTGCGGAGGAGTTCCTCACTCAGTTGAAGGCTGGCATTAAGGAGATTACTATTGGAAACCCGGACAAGGACTTGGAGGCTTTCATGGGCCCTGTGATTCATCGTGGATCATTCGAGAAGATCAAGTCTATTATTGATGCCAGCAACAAGGACCCCTCGTTGAAGCTGATTGCAGGTGGTACTTATGATGGATCTGTTGGATACTACGTGCACCCTACCGTGTACCAAGCGGATTCACCAGACCACCGTCTCTTCAACGAGGAGATCTTCGGCCCCGTGCTTGCCGTGCACATCTACAAGGATGCCGATTGGGCTTCTACTTTGAAGTCTGTTGATCAGAATGGAGGCGGATTTGCCTTGACTGGTGCTGTCTTTGCCAAGGACCGCATTGCTATCCGCCAGGCTGAAGATGCTCTCCGGTACTCTGCCGGCAACTTCTATATCAGTAAGTCCCACAGTGCCTACCTAAATTGTTGCTATATCCATTCTAACCGTCACTTTCAGATTGCAAGACAACCGCTGCCCTTATCGGCCAGCAGTCTTTCGGTGGCGCGCGTGCTAGCGGAACCAACGACAAGGCTGGTAGCTCTGACCCTCTTCGTCGTTTTGTTAGCCCGCGGTTGATTAAGGAGGAATTCTTCAGTCAAGAGGGGTTCACTTACCCCAGCAACTACTAATCTTGGGATACAGCTTGTATAGCAGAGTATAAAAAATCGTTACAACAAAATGAACAGTTCATAGATTTTTCGCTGACACAATACGTACTTTCGCAATTCAAACATGCTGCTATTTTATTTCTATCGATTGCACTTCCAGGATTATAAGACACGAGAGTAGTCGACCGCGTGTGCCTCTGTCCTTACCTAGAAAACGACAATAGGACTTTAACAATCTTAATTTCCGGTCCAAGATGATATTAGGGACATTATATTCCGACGTCTACTTGGATTTTTTTCCCTTAGATATCATCTCTTCGAGGTGTTATAATTAAAAGGATAATAAATATAGTAGCCACGCTGCTTATTAGAAGACTTCCTATGTCTCACCGGGGATGTCAATTACTTCAGTCTTCCTACTATGGATCCGTAGGATCCCAAGGTTACCAAAGAATAGCGTGTCATGTGTATCTTAGAACTTTTGTATCGTCAAGGTAGATTTATTTTGATTAGATTTTTATGCAACTACCTATGTAGGTAGAATCTATCGTATATTTCATTTGTACTAATAGAAGCACCCTTAAATGTAACTATTCTCATAGAAGACTCAATCCTCCAGCTCCCCCTCACCATATCATACGGTATTTCAGATATGTCCTACAATGACCTCTTACGTGGCTCCATCTCTTATCATAAATATCAAAAAATCATCAAAAAAGCCAATTTGGGCACATCGGGAACCCTCCCGGTGGTCCACTTCTCCGCAGCCCCCGCACTGGCCCTGGAGAGTCGGCATTGACGCCGTTGACTCATGGAGATATATTGAGCTGTAAGTATAGATATGGAAGTATTGGACCATCTGGTAGAAGTTTCGCATCGCATTTCACATGGCTATTTCCAAGTCCGACCCGATCATCATCGTTGGCGGCGGGGCCTTCGGGCTCTCGAGCGCTCTTCATTTGACTCGCTCGGGCTTTACGAACATCTCTGTCTTCGAGAGAGACGAGCATATTCCTCCTCGCTATTCGGCCGCCAATGATCTGAACAAGATTGTTCGCGCGGAATACGAGGATCCATTCTACACCGATTTGACAATTGTAAGTCAACCATCTTCGATGCAAAGTATAGTAACCGAGTTAATTACTGACCGGTGGCCTTGTTTTTATCTATTAATTAGAAAGCCATCGCGGCATGGAAAACACCTCTTTTCGCACCGCATTTCCACCAGACTGGATTCCTCCACTGCGTGTCTGGCGAAGCACCCCGGAAAGCCATCGATACCCTCAATAGATTCTGGGCTTCTGCCAACGGGAACGATCAACTAAAATCACATGCCGTACCCCTAAATGGCGAAGACGACATCCGTCAAGCCTGTTGGCAGCTCAACGGCCCACTGACCGGATGGAATGGATACCTGAACCGCTTCGACGGGTATGCACACTCCGGGAACGCCCTGGCAGGCGTATATCGCGCCGCGCAGGCAGCTGGCGTGCGCTTCTATCTCGGAGAACGCGGCGCAGTCGACGAAATCGTCTACGTCGGCATACTGCAAGGCAAGAAGAGCTCGGGAATCCGAACGAAGGATGGGAAGTTCCACCCGTCTTCGTTGGTGATTGTCGCAGCGGGTGGTGCAGTGGGCCGTCTTGTCCCGGAAATTGGGAAGAAAGTCGTGGCCAAGTCGTGGTCCGTTGCGCATGTTCATCTTACGGATGAAGAGACTTCTACGCTGCGTGGTATTCCTGTCACCTATGCTCGCGACCTGGGTTTCCTCTTCGAGCCGGATCCTCAGACTAACTTGTTGAAGATTTGTCCTATGGGTGGGGGGTATATCAATACGGATCCTGAGACTGGGGTTTCTCATGCCCCGGGGACTTTGGAGGAAAGTGCGTTTGTGCCGGAGCATGATGAGAGGCAGATGAGGAAGTTGCTCGCGCAGACTCTTCCGGCGCTTGCAAATCGCCCGCTTGTTAAGAAGTCGCTTTGTTGGTTTGCTGATACTGATGACTCGGACTTTATTATTGATTTTGTTCCGGAGACCTCATCGTCGGTTGTTTTGTTGTCTGGTGATTCTGGGCATGGGTTCAAGATGTTCCCTATCTTCGGTTCGTGGGTTTCGGATTTCCTGCAGGCTGGTCAGCAGCGTGAAGCACGGTGGAAGTGGAAGCATACCGATCCCAATGAGGGCAAGAGGAATTGGGGTGGTGATGTGAGCTGGCGTCTTGGAGAGTCAAAGGAGCTCTCTGAGATTCGGCCTGCGATATTGTCCAAGCTTTAGATTATTTGAATATTGGAAGAGTACATGTATTGGTTTTTATGGCACTTTCAGGTTCAAGACAAACGTATCATTAACCATTCAAATCATAGCCCAGCTTAGATTAATTTAGAACGGACACTGTTCTTTGAAAATATCAGTTCATCAATTCGCAATTCGTGAATTCATTAGGCATACAATCTACCATATACTATGTTCTACCATCGCATTTGACACCCACTCAGTATCATAACTCTCAATCGAGTCCGCAACAGCCATAATCTCAGCCGAAGTCAGCATCGTGCTAAAGTCACACTCCACATCTAAATCAGGATCCGGCCTCAGAAGCGCATCGTCATATCGAATAGGTTGAGGTATAGCCCCAGGGATCGGTGTTGTAGAAGGGGAAGCCGGGTGAGGAAGAATATCAGCCTGCTGGAAGAAGTCATGGACTGCTAAGTGTCGAGGCTGATCGCCAGAGATACATCCTATTAATGTTTCGTGTAGCTGTTGGAGTTCGGATCGCCGGAATCGAGCGACTTGGTTTCCGTCTCTGATCATTTCGTCAAAGATGGCATAGGCTTTCTCCAGCCAGTTGGGGTGGCTTTCTAGTACTCGCGGGTCGATTGCTGGGCCCATCAGGAGGATGATTGTGGATACAAACACTGATTCTAGATCAAAGGGAAGGAAGGTTTCTAGAATTGGATGTTAGTTGAGAGGCCTACATGTAGAAAATGTTGTTTTACCTAAGAGGCCTTGGCTCTGTAAACTGGAGAGAATGCTGATGATGTGCTGGGAAGATTCAAGACACATTTGCATCAGGTTTCGGACATTTCGGGATGCGTTGAGGGATTCTAAACAGCTTTCTGGGGACTCGAATCGGATTTTGAGAAAGCAGAATAGGAGAGGTCGGGTGGCCAGGATGATACACTGAATAACGTGTGAGTAGTCGGGGGATGCTGCGTTTCTCACGAGGAATAAGACACATACCTGGTGATATTGAAGATGTAAGTATGCCGATATTCGGGAAACTCCGCTGCCTGGGTCCAAGTGCAGCGGAAATGACTCGCGAAGCTCATCAGCAAGCCCTGCTATGTTCGCCAATGCTGTTTTAGTGCTGAGCAGAAAAGTCCGGTTGATGCGTCCATTGATAACATATATTGCTGTTCATTTTGTTAGGGATAATTATCAGCGATGGAGGCTCAGTGAATCTTACTGCTGTTCACCTCGGCTATAATCTGGGACAACTTGATGTGCATGCCTAATGACACTGTCTCTGATGGATCTGCAAAGGTGGGGAGCTGGGTTTGCACATATCGGTCATTGATGGACTGAGGCAGACCCATTAACGAGGTCATTTCTCGGTCCAGAATGTAAATGGTCCACCAGATTTTGCCCGACCTTTGGACCATGTCATGCCCTAGAGCTTCGACTGGCATACTAGTGTGCATTCCTTGTGCCATAGCTATCCGCACGGCTTGACCAATCTAGATCATTAATCAGTCAGGTTTTTCAGTCTTTCAAATCAGTCATTTGAAAATCTCACGTAGTTATGTGCCGATGTTCGAAAGTCAACACACTGGTAGTACAAGGCGATGCAACATAAGATTTCCGTTCCCAACATAGGGTCTCGGTACAGAGCAGTCGGGTCAGGCAGAAGCTGCAAAGCTTTGACGAAATAGCACACCCCTGGTGGCTTTTTACCTTGAGCCTTGGGCTGAACGAATCCTTTCCCAAAAGCCAGGATGAGGAGAAAATGGATGTACCACAAGCTATTTGTCATGGATTGCCCGTCTCCTGAGTAGAACTGCTGCAAAGAGCTCATAAACTCATCCTCTTCGAAGAGGTGATACAATTGCCCGCACCGGAATTTCACAGCATTGATCAGATACATGGTGTGGTCGCGAGTCGGGACAACTGGAAGATCTAGGCCCGGTGTTGTCCGTAACCCGTCCCATCCCAGTTCATAGGTCGTTTCATCAAATATCAAAGTGTCTGTAGGTAGTGCATCTTGATAGAGGTGCTGATGTGCCAAGCTGAGAACTCGCCGAGTGAACGACCAGTTGGATGATGTCCCAAGATAGACTGTTGATGTTAGAGTTGTGCATTCCAAGAAACCAGCATAACCTACAGGTACGGCCATTTGCTGCAGACATAAAAGCAGGAGGGCCAGATGATAATGGGTTGGCTAGCCCAGAGTCTAGATCCTCCAGCTCCTGAGGTTCATCGTGATCCTCTGGAGTACTAGTCCTCCCCAAAGTAGGTATACCTTCGCGGCCTTTGGGATCTACGGTAGGTTAGTAAATAAGGTAACCATCTATGTGGAAATCAAGACGCACCAATGGTTTGAGTATCGAAATTCGAGCTAAAGGGGCTCACTTGGCCCTTTTCGCTCTGCTCTATACGCGCAATCTTCTGCTGCAGTTCCAGTATGTACCTGCGATAAGTGAGTTATCCATTCTTCTCAAAGACTCCACTTGAATTACCCTCTTGTTACTAGGACTTTCTGATCATAATTATTGAAAACGCAGGAAAGCTTTCGCTTGCTGCACCCGTCGCATGGCTGCGACCCGGAACATTTGATTTTTTGTCTCCGGCATCGCACACAACTAAATTGTTAGCGTGCATTTCCATTAATTTTAGATCTCACTCACGCATTTGACGATCGTTTTGTAACTCTTCCATTGCCCGCCATGTTGAGATATGTCAGAAATCAGCCAGGACGGCGAAAATGCGGGGGAAACCCTTGGAAGTTCGCCGTGAGGCCTAGGAGGGCCGTGAGGGGATCTCTGGTTATCAGAAGAACGAATCAGACAGTTTTGCAGACATGTGGATCTTATCTGTTCTACCCCGTAAAGAGGAGGAGACATAGCCCTGGAGAAATGTCGCCGGGTTCCCTCCCGATGATTCATATCTTGGTCATTTGACATCTCCCGTTATCTTTCTGGTCTTTCTGCCCATTCATACATGCAAATACAGCTTCATTTTTCCTTTTCTATGTACATATGTAGATTTCAACGCTGGCCGAGCAAATTTCGATTCCTCTCCCAAAATTGTCTGCATGCTGTGTGACCCCAATGCTCAGTCCACCACTCTCCGAAGCTATCTTGAACATTTTGTTCATCCACTCGTAATACCCGCTCATCTCTCTTAAGAGAACAGAGTGCGCATGGATGGGAGGCCTTTAGTGCGCCCTGGTCCGCCCGCGCCGTAATAACCTTAAGCGCACTAGGATCTGGCACCGTAGGGATTGGTCGCTGGCCTGCAGCTTGAAGAACAGCGTTGAAAATCGCCGCCCGTTCACGCCAAGTAGTAAGCACATCAACAGCATCTTGTTCTTCTTTGATGTTCTCTTGCTTGTTCACGCTGTTAAGTTTCATACCACCGGCTTTGCCGGAACGGGCAGGCCCGATTCGCATGCTTTGACTAAGGATTGTGTCACGTTTCCACCGGAGACCTCGCCCTGCAATTACGCGGGCGGCCGACTGAAGTACGTTGTGAATATTTAAGGCTGTCGTTGTAAGGGTGTTTGACGATGACTGTGGGGCCGAAGATCGCAGCTGGGATTTTGCGAGTGCAGCCTCCTTCTGAAGTTTCTCAAACACATCTAAGAATAACTCGAGAAGGACTGATGGCGGTGGAATATTTGTTGGGCGGACAGTGGCTGCGGGGGCTGTGGTCCCAGAAACAAAGCTACTAGGAGCTGGGTTAGGGGCTGTCGGTGGTGAGGTGGGCTTGGATTTAGGCACAGGCTTAACAGTGGGCTTCACACTGGGCCCGTCTGAAAAGTCACCCCAGTCGTCAAAGGCCTCGTCATCCCATGTTGATGCAGGCGGCTTATTTGACTTGAGAGGTTGTTTTGTAGGTGGTTTGCTTTTCTTCTCAGAGACTTTTGGGAGAGGTTGGCTAGCAGGTGCATCGGCGAAATCGCCCCAGTCACCAAACGAATCATCCTCCCATGTCCCCTGGGTTTGGTTGTTACCAGGTTCGAGTTGTCGGTCCGTTTTGGCAATTTTCGACGGAGGTCCCACAACTGGTGCGGAATCTTGCATTGAGAGTGAATCTAGCAAGTCAATGGCTTTAGAACCCTGCAGATCATCTTGCCAAGACTCTGGTTTTCGAGATGTAGCTGTCGTTGAATGCTGAAGAGCTGTTGATTGGTCATCTTGGGTGTTTGATTCAGGGCCCTCAAATTCACCCCAGTCGTCGTCTGTATCACTTGCTGGTGTGTCAAATGCTGCATCGAATAAAACATCGCTATGTGGATTCATGGGAATGTCAAATGCCTGATGACCAGGGCTCTGCCACGAAGCTGTTGGAGTTGCAAATTGACTGACTGCTCCCGGGGTCGGATTGGGACGTTTGTTGTGCTGAACACTTCCCGATGACCCGAAGAAATCTATGTTCTCGCCGACATCGAAGAATGGGCTTTTCTGGTATTGCGATGGCTGATGTCCGGACTTATGGTCTGGAGCAGGCGCCTGCCCGAACTCTGCCAGCAGATCTGCGGACATTTTGAATGTCCACGGGTGTCATGAAGCTGTGAAAGGTGACATAAGGTGCAGTGGGTTTCTGCAACTGTGGCGACACAAGATAGAGTATACTGATGTCAGCCGTAATCTTTATCGCTTTTGATATGCAAACTTCCCAATCCAAACTCAGCCGGAGTATATCGCGGTGGAATGTCGCAATGGCCGAATAAGGCCAGTAGCGCGAGATAAGGCACGGGCGGTCTAGTATCGGCCGCATCCCCCTCATCTTCCGAGGTTCTCTCCGCCATCCCCAGCAATGAGGACCATTGAGGAGACCAGGTATTTCCCCCGAATTGTCCGCAAATTTTCACTTATACTGACCCTCGCAGAAAGAGATGGGACATCCTGTTCTCCGACAATGACACACCTTCCGACCTCCGAGCAGCGTTGCAATCCGAGCAAGGAGGAAACCTGTGCAATGACGGACTGAGGTCGGTTTGCTGGAAGGTTCTGTGGGCTTGACAACGTGAGATGGAGAGATATATACTCATTCTTTATGCAGGCATTTCTGCTCTTCGACGGGTTGGACAGAACTGAATGGGCGTCTAAGCTCGACGAATCCCGGGATGCTTATCGTGCGCTACGAGATCATTTCTTGAAATACATCGAACATCCGGATGATTTAGAGTCGACTGTTGATCCGCTGGCGGATGATGAGCAGGTATGCGCACCACCCTCACGCTGTGCTTCGCCCAACCTAAAGATACTCCTATCTAACTAATGCTTGTTGGAACAATCAGTCCCCTTGGCAAACACTCCGACACGATGAGACGCTGCGTGCCGAGATCCTACAAGACGTCGATCGATGCCTTCAGGAAAACTTCTTTTTCCAAGAGCCCGACACCAAATCCAAGTTGACTGATATCCTGTTCGTCTACTCGAAGCTCAATCCAGACGTCGGCTATAGACAAGGAATGCACGAATTACTCGCTCCTATTCTCTGGGCGGTAGATCGAGATTCGGTAAAGCCACGCCCCGGAGGACTTCATGCGAACAAGGACAAAAGCGAGGGTTTGATGCGAAAGCTTCTTGATGCACAATTCGTGGAACATGATTCCTTTACGCTGTTTCTATCTGTCATGCAGACGGCCCGTATATACTATGAACACGGCGAGACACGGTCGGCAAATGGCCAGATGGATGTTATTCCGATTGTTGACCGGTGTAATTATCTCCATAAGGAAGCTTTGGCGATTATTGACAACGAGCTCGCTGAGCACCTGGAAGCTGTGGACGTATTGCCGCAGATTTTCCTAACGTAAGTTGTTTCCAGATGCCCATTTATCCTTCTGTACTGACTCACTGCAAAGCCGCTGGATGCGCCTTCTGTTTGGACGAGAAGTTCCATTTGACGATGTCTTGACGATGTGGGATCTACTATTTGCTCATGGTCTACGGTCTGATCTTGTTGATTTCACGTGCATTGCAATGCTGCTTAGAATTCGTTGGCAATGTTGGTCGACCTGCTCAATTCCCCGTCGTATCTTATTTCGCTGACATGCATCATTTAGTGCTTACTGCCGACTATACAACCGCTTTAACATTATTGCTTCGCTACCCTTCACCCCAACCACACACACCTCAGACTTTTGTGCATGATGCACTCTATTTGGAACAAAATCCTACCGCCGATCGAGGCAGCTTCATCATATCAAAATATTCAGGTAGACCGCCTGATTCCAAATTTCGCAGTGACCCTAGTACACGGCCCACAAGGAAGGCCTTCCTTTGGGGGGACTTCAAGAAACGCAGTGCAAGCAACTCACCTGCCGTGTCACCAGCCAGAAACAGCCCCAAAAGTCTCGAATCTCTTTTCCAAGATGTCTCCCAGGGAATCCAACGCCGGACAGAGACCTGGGGCGTAGCCAAAGCCGTTCGAGGCGCCGTGACAGAAGCCAGGAAAAATATGCAGACAATGAATTTTGACCCCAATATGCGTCCTGGCTCTTCAAGGCCTATTTCCGCGGCGTCGGCTTCGGACATACAATCCAAAGCGCCCATGGCGTCTACGGGGGCCTCGACCAGACTGGAAACGAAGATCAATCTACTCGAGAAAAGGAACCAGGCTTTGGCGACGATTTTGCGCGAGGCACTGAATGATCTTGGCTCGCAACTGGCAAATATGAAGGACCTCGATTCTGATACGAGCAGCGCAGTGAAGCAGGCTCTGGTCAAAGCTGAGAGTGTCCAGGTCTGCCTCGGAGACTCTTCCATACCAGTAGAACCCCCTCTTGAAACCCGACTAGACGGTGAATTGGCCCAACCAGATGAGTTCCAAGAGAAAGTCACCTCAGCAACGGGCAAAGAAGAAGGCAACATTATGGCGAACGAGAGTCAATCCCGAACAATACATCCCACCAAATCGGATACGACCGGGCCGAAAGCCGAGAGTGGAACCAATGCTACCTGCCTAGACACGGCAAGTCGGACGAACAGTGGCAGGAAGGAGAGTGCGCGGGCAATACGCTCGCGACCAGCTGTGCGACCTTCTATGACGGATTCGGGATTCTCGTGGATGCTTGGCGGTGGTCGGAACCTGTCGGGCTTTGTTAGCTCAACGTCGCCGCCGCCGGAGCAGACTCGGCATCTAGACCAAACCCGGAAACCCAAACCCAATGCGTTGTTCGGTCTGAGCGGAGATGACAATCCAGGGACCGATTCTGAGCATAGTGAATTGGCGCTGTACAGCCTTCGGGGGTCTCGGGACCCTCTGTCAGGAACCGGCCCACTATGATATCTCCCGAGCTGGTCAATGTCACTGCTTG